CTGTAGTCCCAGTTACTCAGGAGGCTGAGGTGAGAGAATTGTTTGAGCCCAGGAGTTAGGGGCTACAGTGAGACATGATCATCCTGCACTTATCCCCAAGGTGACAGAGTGAGATCCTGACTCAAAAACATAATCTTATAGGGACGTCCTAGACTTCCTCATGTATCTCAAATATTTCCAGACGTGAGCTCTGAGAAAGAATGGTTTCAATGGATCTGAGCTGAGCTCCAAGACAAGCAGCCCTCATTTCCGCCAGGGCCCTTGTTTAAACTTCCTTTAAGGGAAGCCAGAGCTGTGAAAGTCTGTTTCAAGGATGTGCTTCCTACAGGCATTTTCCACAGTGTCTGGCAAATTTTACAGATGAGAAAATATTATTAGCAAACAAACTAATGGAGTGCTCAAGATCATCAGTTACTAAGTGCTTGTAGCATGGCATGCAAGTCATCAACGTAAGTGTGCCGTGTTTCCTTCTCAATCTCCAGTCCGTGGAAACATCTAAATTCTTCCTGTGATCACTGAAGTCACTTCAGCCTTAGGAGAGTAAAAGACTTAACAACCTAACCACGAGTGTAAGACTTTCTGCAGACAAGAAAAGCCTTTTCTTTAAGTGCCATATAAGTATCTACTTCTTTATCGATTTATTCATTTATTAATTCATTCAACAATCATTTGTAAACACCTACTAAGCTGAGACAGTAAGTATAAAATACAATTTCAAGAACTTTGGTGAGGGAAATAAGAGAGTGGTAGCTTGGAGGGGAAGATTCTTTCAGTCTGGAGGGACAGGGTGGTGGCACAGAGACATTATTGTGGACATGAGGAAATTAATGTGACAGTACTAGTGTCTCCAGACACTTTCTCTGTTAGGGAAGCAAGATTTCTACACCCAGAGTGTGTGCGTGTCATGTCTAACAGGTCGTGCAGTCACCTATTAGCCATGACCTATGCTCAACAAGTGATTCCCACTTACCTGCTGTGGGACCAGGATCAGAGTTGATGGGTCAGTCACTTTTACCTGGAGAGAAGCCAGGAAGAAACCCATGTGTACCAAGTGTCTGGCACATCGTGGTTTTTCCATAAAGCCACCACACAAAGCCACACGCAGGAAGAATCTGGAGGGTGAGATAAATTTTTTCTCATTTGTTATGCCCCAAAAAAACAGCATTTTAAAGTTTCCAACTAAAGACCACTTCAAGACTTGTAGGACAAAAAAAATAGAAAGTATATCTGACACTCAAATGGAGTTATAAAATTTAAAAGGCCGAACTTCCAACTATAAAAAGAATAAGAGCTGGGCTCGGTGGCTCAGCCTGTAATCCCACACCTTGGGAGGCTGAGGTGAGTGGATTTCCTGAGCCCGCAGGTTCGAGACCCGCCTGGGCAACTTGGCAATACCTCATCTCTACAATAAATAAA